AAAGGCATAGAGATTAGAGTGAAGCAGAGAAAAGACATGTATGACAGAGCCCAGATTGAGAATACAAGATAGAACTAGACTAAATACACAAAGTTCAGATGGAAAGTGAAAAAAAATGAGAAGCATAGAAAGAGTATAAGAAGAAACAGGCAGCCATTCACAAGTCTTCAATGGGCACATGAACAGTAAAAGGGTGGTAAAAGGACTGAAACCAAGTCAAGGTTCAGAGGACTGATGCATGGCAGCAGAGGGCGTGGTTGAGATACTGAATGAGTAACTTGCACCTGTCTTTACCAAAGAAGCAAACCCTGCCAAAGTAATTGCGAAAGAGGAAGTAGTTGAGAACTGGATGGATTAAATATTGATAAAAAGGAGGCTGGCTATATTTAAAAAGGAAGAAGTCACCATAGCCCTACCAGATCATAGGCCTGCTGTTATTAAAGAGAGATGACAGGTGGAGGGGATGGTTGAGAACAAGATCCCTCCATGGTAACCTCAGCCAGTGAGGGAATTGAACCCACACTGTTGGCATTCACTGCTCTGCAAACCAGCCATCCAGCCAAATATGCTTATCAACCAAACTCATTTATACCATCACTAAAACCACTCATTTCTACTTTCTTAACATCATCCAATGTGATACACCTCTGTTGTAGTTCATCTGCTACTAAAATGCTCATTCATGCCTTCATTACTTCTAGACTTGACTAATCCAGTGCAATCCTGGTGCACTCTATCCTCAGTAAATTTGAGATCATTTAAAACTGTGTTGCCTGTGTCTAAACGTGCAGCAAGCTCCATTTTCATCTATTATCTCTGTGCACACTAACCAAAAACCTCTTGAGTTTAATATTCATTTTGCTTTTCTTCCTCAAATACTTCCATGGTCTCATGCCCTTCCTATCTCCAACCTTCTCCAGCCCTACACCCCACTCTGGTGTCTGTGCTCCTCTAACTTTAACCTATCGCGCATCCCAGATTTTAGTCAGTCTGCCATTGTTGAACTCAAATGTTTAGACCCAAAGCTTTGCAAATTTCTTTCTAGAATTTGCTACCTCATTTTGCTCCTTTAAGACTCTCTTTGAAACCTATTTAATTTAACATTGTTTTGATCATGTGATTTCTTTTTACTTCGTATCAATTATTTTATAATTTTTCTTTGAAGCCTCTTTACCAAATTCTATTATGTCAAAGGCACTATCTAAATATAAATAATTGTTGTTGAATTCACCAGCACTAGATCAGGTGCATCCGAAGACAGAGAGAAGTACAGCTGGAAATTGAGGAGGCACTGGCTTTGATCTTCCCTTAAAGCCAGAAGTTTGGAAAAATGTACATGTTTTAAATAAAGGGTGTAAAGATAAGTCCAACAACTCCAAGCCAGTTTAATCTCCACGATGGAAAAAAAATTAGAAGCTGTGCCCTTGGACAAAATTAACAATCACTTGTGTAAATGTGGATTAATTAAGGAAAGCTAGCTAAGATTTGTTGAGTGAACTTTATTAGGTTTTTTGTTGAGGTAACAGTGAGAGTGATGAGGGTGCTGTGGTTGGTGTGGTTTTATGAATCTCCAAAAGGTGTTTGATAAAGTACCACACAGTGGGCTTACAAGTAACGTTGAACCTCATGAAATAACAGGACAGTATGGATATGAAGTTGTCTGAGTGACAGGAAACAGTAGTGGTGAACAGTTACTTTTCAGATTAGAGGAAGGTATACAGTGGGTTTCTTCAGGGATTGACATTAGGACCACTGCTTTCCTCAATATATAGTAAATATCTAGACTTGGATGTGTAATATTAAAAATTACAAATGATGCAAAACTTGGAAGTATCATGGACTATGAGAGGGATAATGATAGATTTCAAGAGGAGTTAGGTTGGTGGATCAGTGGACATGTAGCAAATTAAATTTAATGCAGAGAAATGTGAAGTGATACATTTTGACAGAACGAATGAGGAGAAGGAATATAATAAAATGGATACAATTTTAAAAGCGTTGCAGAAGCAGAGAGACCTATGGATAAATGTGCATAAAATTTGTGAAGTTGATAGGACAGGTTGAGAAAGAGGCTATTAAGGCGAATGGGATCCTTGGCCTTTTAAATAGAGGCAAGTAAGTTACAGTGATTCTACAAAAAACAGTGGTTCTATTTCAGCTGAAGTATTGAATCCCACAATGGGCACTGTATTTTTGGAAGGATGTAATGGCATTAGAGAGGTGCAGAAAAGATTTGCAAGAATGTTTCCTGGGATGACTGTCTTTGGTTACATGGATAGATTGGAGAAGCAAGAGAGAAAAGAAGGTCAGAATTCAGATTTGATAGATATGTTCAAAATCATAAGGGATCTGAACTTGGGAGTCAGATAAACTGTTTTCATTGGCAGAAGGCCTGTCAACCAGAGGTCATCATTATAATCTGATCATTTACATTGGCATAAGAACCAATGGCAACATAAGGAAAAGTTGTTTTTTAAATGAAGCACAAGGCAAGGTGTGGCACTACATTTTGGGAATTGAAGTCCTATCCTGAAAGGTACAGGCACACCTGAAAAATAACCAACTGATACTAGGTTGGGATAACAAGGTGTAGAGCTGGATGAGCACAGCAGGCCAAGCAGCATCAGAGGAGCAGGAAGGCTGATGTTTCGGGCCTGGTCGAGCTCCTCGTGGGAGCACGAGGCGGCACGAGGAGCTCGAACAGTTCATCCACTTCACCAACACCTTGCACCCCAATCTTAAGTTCACCTGGACCATCTCCAATACCTCTCTCTACTTCCTGGACCTCTCTGTCTCCATCTCTGGCAACTACCTAGAAACCGATAATCATTTCAAGCCCACTGACTCCCACAGCGACCTAGAATACACCTCCTCCCACCCACCTTCCTGCAAAAATGCCATCCCCTATTCCCAATTCCTTTGCCTCCACCGCATCTGCTCCCAGGATGAGGCATTCCACTCCCGTACATCACAGATGTCCTCGTTTTTCAAGGACCGCAACTTCCCCCTTTCATTGGTCGAGAACGCCCTTGACCGTGTCTCCCGCATTTCCCGCAACTCATCCCTCACACCCCCTCCCCGCAATAACAACCAAAACAGAATCCCCCTCATCCTCACGTACCACCCCACCTACCTCCGGATCCTACGCATCATCCTCCGACACTTCCGCCATCTGCAATCTGACCCCACCACCAAAGACATTTTTCCCTCCCCACCCTTATCTGCTTTCTGGAGGGAACACTCTCTCCGTGACTCCCTTGTCCGCTCCACACTCCCCTCCAGCCCCACCACACCCGGCACTTTTCCCTGCAACCGCAGGAAGTGCTACACCTGCCCCTACACCTCCCCCCTCACCCCCATCCCAGGCCCCAAGAAGACTTTCCACATCAAGCAGATGTTCACCTGCACATCTGCTAATGTGGTATACTGCATCCGCTGTACCCGTTGTGGCCTGCTCTACATCGGGGAAACCAAGCGGAGACTTGGGGACCGCCTTGCAGAACACCTACGCTCGGTTCACACTAAACAACTGCACCTCCCAGTCGCGAACCATTTCAACTCCCCCTCCCATTCCTCAGATGACATGTCCATCCTGGGCCTCCTGCAGTGCCACAACGATGCCACCCGTAGGTTGCAGGAACAGCAACTCATATTTCGCTTGGGAACCCTGCAGCCCAATGGTATCAATGTGGACTTCACAAGCTTCAAAATCTCCCCTCCCCCTACCGCATTCCCAAAACCAGCCCAGCTTGTCCCCACCTCCCTAACCTGTCCTTCCTCCCACCTATCCCCTCCTCCCACCTCAAGCCCCACCCCCATCTCCTACCTACTAACCTCATCCCGCCCCCTTGACCTGTCCGTCCTCCCTGGACTGACCTATCTCCTCCCTAACTCCCCACCTACACTCACCTTTACAAGCTCCATCCCCGCCTCTTAGACCTGTCTGTCTCCTCTCCACCTATCTTCTTTTCTATCCATCTTCTATCCGCCTCCCCCTCTCTCCCTATTTATTTCAGAAACCCCTTCCCCTTCCCCATTTCTGAAGAAGGGTCTAGACCCGAAACGTCAGCCTTCCTGCTCCTCTGATGCTGCTTGGCCTGCTGTGCTCATTCAGCTCTACACCTTGTTATCTCAGATTCTCCAGGATCTGCAGTTCCTACTATCTCTGATACTAGGTTGGACTGTTTTTCATTAGGCGTTGGGCATAAGCAGTTTCAGAGTCTGCTCTAGTGGTGATTAGAAGAGCTGAGATCAGATCAAAACTGATTCTGAGGAAGGGTCACTCAACCCGAAACACTAACTCTGATTTCTCTCCACTGATGCTGCCAAGCATGCTGAGCTTTTCCAGCAATTTCTGTTTTTGTGTCTTATTTAAGGTGCTCTCTCCACATGTGGAGTCCGTTTCAAGCCCAAATATGAGCCTAAAGTAATTTTTAACTCTGTGTTTCTCTGCACTGTAGTTAGGTAAGAGTGTCACTGGCACTAATCCCCTTCTCTATGTTAGAGCAAATTACTGCAGATGGTGGAAACTGTACCGAAAACAAAAACTGCTGGAAATCACAGTGGGTCAGGCAGCATCCATGGAGAAAGAGCAAGCTAACGTTTCAAGTCTAGGTGACTCTTCATCAGAGCTGACGTAGTGTGGAGGGAACAGCATTCATGCAATCGTGGGCGGCAGAGGGGAGGAGTGCTGGGGAGAAAGGGTGTTGGTAGAGCAGATGAAGTGATCAGAATGTGAGAATGGCAGAACAATGTTGTGTCCAACTGCAGACAGGAAAGAACAGATAGTCCCATTGGAGTGGGGGGAGGGGAAAGAGGACATGGTGACAGAGAATACAACCAATAAAGCTAAAGGAAAGAAAAGGAATGGGATATGTCGCTCTTTGCCATAATTACATTTAAATGTACTGTATTTTAATTTGCAAAGAGTTGAGACATTTTCTTCGTGCTGTAAAAATCCCCAATCCCTAACTCTCATTAAACAGGAGATGAATCATTACCGTGAAATTTCCTCCATGGTCCTTAAACAGTGGTTGAAAGAATGGAGCTGGATCAGGAGGCATCACCCACACTGTCTTCCATAATCTGTAAAAAACAAGGTGAATTAGTGAATGAGAGGGAGGTGGAGTCACACCCTATTTTTATATCTTAGTGTATCACATTTAAAGGTCACACAGAATTAATTCCTTTTCAAGTACAACCATGTAGCCAATGCAGAAATCATTTTTGTAGTATATTGAAAATTGCATCCACAAGGCTGCCATACACACATGTACCAATAGAAGAAACCTAAGGGTATTATGATTGTTTTAACAGAACATGCAGTTCCGACTTTTATTTTCAAACGTTAAATGAGTGAATGCAAGATCTGATAGCTCCATAAATGCAATGACCCAGTTTACAGATGTTTACATCAGTCATCTCTTCAGTAAAATTGTGGGTGCTGACAGTGACCTGGGAACCTGGGAACAGTTTCATTAGATGCTGCAGTCAGGTCTCAGCATTCTCTAACCCTGATGTAATTGCTCTCCACACCTCTTTCCCTCTTTGCTTTGCTTGGTATGCATTGAATTCTCTAGCAACTGGAGAGACGGTGGACTCTCATGGGTTTATCTGGAATTCAACACCAGTTGAGAAAGATATGATCCAGGATTTACACAAATGGGGAAGTGGACCCTATCCTTGACATCCCATCTAACGAGCACAGCTCCCTCAGTAATGCACCTCACTACTGTAATTGTGCTCATGTTTAAAGTGAGGTTTGACTCCATAGCCTTGAGTCAGAGGTACCAAGTTTGTAAGCTGTCATAGGGCAATATTGAATTTTTCAGCCTACCATGTCCTCACTAGATCAATCAAAACTAATTTCACTGCCATGCCCTCTCCCCATCGTCATTAAGTTGTCTGACTGTGAAGAGGAAATTTCAAAGGGACGATGACTGAGAACTGAAAACCTATTGCAGGTGGAAGTCAATGTTGGGAAGAGTGAAGTAATCCGCTGCAATTTAGGAAGTTTAATCGAATTAGATTCTTAATAACAAGAGAATAGAATTGTGATGTAGAAAAGAGTTTGGTGTCCACACATTTAAATCACCAAAGGCTGATACACAAGTACAGTAATCAAAAACTACTAAAGGCCTTCATCTGAAAGGTTTTGAAATACACAAGGGAGATTGTGGTGCTTCAGTTATACAAAGCCTCTATTAGACATCATCTGGAATACTACATTCAGCTCTGAGCACAGCACCTCAGTAACAATAGAATGATCTTGAAGGAGTGCAGCACATTGTCATCAAAAAAACCCCCACAAACTTTACTATGTAGAAGGACAAGATACATGGGAACACCATCACCTGCAAGTTCCCATCAAAGCCACATGCCATCCTGCCTTGGAACTATATCACTGGTCCTTCACTGTCACTGGGTCAAAATCCTAGGATTCCCTTCCTATAGCACTGTGGATATCCCTACATCCAAAAGATTCAAGCAACTCAAGGCAGCAATTCACGACCACAAACTCCAGGGCAATTATAGATTGGCAATAGATGCTGACTGAAATTGTGATTGCTGCATCCTATAAATCAATCTAAAAATTGCAGCTCAAGGATTGGAGCCAGTGAGTGTCAGTAGGATCCAAGAGGACAGAACAGATGTGAGCTCCACTGTTTAATGGCTGGTTTGGAGTTGATGTCACAGCTGCACATTTTTATTTTTAGGGTCTGAGTGTGCCCTGCTTGCATTTTTATATTTTTAGCTAAGCTGACAAGCAGCTTCCTGTGGAAATATGATTGAGTAAAAGCGAGAGAAGGCAGTGAAGGACAACAGCCAAGTTAAACCAGCAGAATGTCTCTGACATGAAGATAGCTATGCAGTCTCTGTACATTTTTCCACATTATGGAATATATCCACAGCCTTCCTGAGACCTACACAGCCTGATTTTAGGCCATCAGTTCCTCTAAATGGTGATTTTCATTATACGAAGGCTGATGGAGTACAAAGCCATACACAACAGCACACACAGGACTAAACCCACAATCTACATGATGTTAGTTCCTCCAAGCTGTGGGGTGTAACAATGGCTTCAGTTTCCCAAGAATCAGCAAGGAATATCAGATCTAGTTCCTGGTCCTCATCACTTCATTTATCCCTGTTGTAATATGTACATCTTTCTTCAAATGAGTTTCATATTGGTTTGGCCTGTAAAGCACCCATGGTAAAATATCCAGCCAATTGTGACCACTGGGATTACACATAGAGAGATGAAGGGGGTTTGATTTGTTGATACCTTTCACGTTGGGAGGTAATGGGAAGGTGTTTAATCTACTGGTCAATACGAATAGACAGGGGTTTGTTCAATTGGAATTCTATACAATGGATGTGAATTTGTAAGTCAATTGATATCTGCTGAAAACTATGGAGATTCGGGTTTAATTGGTTTATTGAGATTGAACATCATGGTACCCTGACTGTTTTTATTATGCACAATGAATGAACAGGCAATAAATTGATAATGGGCTAGTGAATCTATGTGAAGTTGCCAATCCTGATGTCTACAAACATTCCAGTAGGAGTAGGAAATCACTGGATAGTGATCAGAACCAGGAATGTGTTAGACATCGTGGAGGGTGAATTCATGGAGTGATAGACTTCCCAATACATAACTAGAATACTTGGAAGTGTCCTGAGAGGAAAGCATGGCTATGCGTTGTTCCATCAACTGCTGTTTTAAGAAAAGTATATGACAGTAATGACATCAGTCATGAGTAAATTGGACAGCAACTTATGGGTTAGAGTAATAAAAATGGCAAGTATGAGCTCTGAAAAAATACCAGTTGATGAAGTCTATTTTTCAAAGAGTTTAAGAGTTACATCAGAAAGTTTAAGAGTTACATCAGAAAGTCTTGGTTCAGGGAAATAGATTGCAGTTAACAATTACAATTGTTTTCACACGAGTAGAATTTTAGAAAAAGATTTGGGAATAGATACCTTAAGGTATTGTCTTTGTCATGTACCTTTTAATTTGAGCAAAATATGCTGTTTCAGGGACCATGTCTTTCAATAATTCAACGGGCTGATAAGATCGAACTTGAGTTCATCATTCAAGTAATCATTAATCAGGTCTAGTAGGAACTGCAGATGCTGGAGAATCTGAGATAACAAGGTGCAGAGCTGGATGAATGTCACCTTTCCTGCTCCTCTGACGCTGCTTGGCCTGCTGTGTTCATCCAGCTCTGCACCTACCTTGTTATCTCATTAATCAGGTCTGATCCATGTACAAAGCATTTTGTGATCACTCAAAAATATTGTTGTAAACCAGTGAGGGAAGGAAACTGACTGCTAATTGGTACTCATTTCTCTTGTTATAACTTGGGAATCCTGAGGCATGAGATCTGCTAACTCAACACAGAAAACCCACAAAAATGAACCATTCCATGTCCAAGTCTGACTAAATAGTCAGATTGGATGCTGTCCTGCTGGTGGGAGAGGACATACCCAGAGATTATAATGATGTAGCCCGGAATATTGACTGTAAATTATGTTTCTATGAGAATGACTGTCTCAGACTGTTGCTTGATTAGTCTGTGGGACAGCTCATTTCATACATACGAATTAGGAGCAGGAATAGCCATTCAACCTGTTGTGCCTACTCCACCATTCGATAAGATCATGGCTAATCTGATTGTAATCTCAAATCTGTATTCCCATTTTCTAGATAAGCTTTCAGTCCCCTGCTTAACAAGAATCTATCTATCCTGGCATTAAAATTAATGAAGGACTCTGCTTCCATCACCTTTTCAGGAGAGTGTTCCAGAGACTCTCAACCCTCAGAGAAAATTGTTTCTTCTCATCTTTCTAATCTCATCTATGTTTCTCATCTCTGTTTTAAATGGATGACCCCTGATTTTTAAACAGAGACCCCGGTTCTAGGTTATCCCACGACAGGAACTGTCCTCTCCACATCTACCCTGTGAAGACATCTCAGCATCTTGTATGTTTCAATCAAGTCATCTCTTATTCTTATAAACCTAGATTGCCCAACCTTTCCTTATATGGCAACCATTCAATTGAACTATTTGCAAACCTCTCTGAACTGCCTCCAAAGCATATTCATCCTTCCTGAAATAAGGTTACCAATACCATGCGCTGTACTCCACATACAGTCTCACCAGTGGCCTGTATAACTGAAGTATAACTGCTCTAGTTTTGTATTTAGCTCCCCTTGTGATAAATGATAACATTTTGATAGCTTTCCCAGATTTTAGTTAAGACGACTTTGACAGGATTAGGTTTGACATTAAAATAAACCAAATAACTATGGATGCAGAAAATTTGAAACAAAAACAGAAATTGCAGGAAAAGCGCAGCAGGTCTTGCAGTATCTGTGGAGAGAAAGAAGAATTAACGTTGAGTCCATCCTGAAGAAGGGTCACTGGACTCAAAATTTTAACTCTGCTTTCTCTCTACAGATGCTGTCAGACCTGCTGAGTTTCTCCAGCAATTTGTTTTGTTTACAGTTTGCCATTGTTGTTTCCAGTGTCGAGCTCATTGATCTATCAGATTTTATTACTTTTCATAGCTTTCGTAGCTGTTTGATACAACTGAGTGGCTTGCTAGGCCATTTCAGAGGGCAGTAAAGAGTCAACCATGTTGCATCAAGTTTGGAGTCACGTGTAGGCCAGAGCAGGTAAAGATGGCAGATTAGAAGAAGCATAGAGGATTTAGGAGAAACAATGGGAAATGGTACATGAGGGAGAATAGGAGAAGGTTTAGGAGAGAGCAGGAGAAAATTTAAGAGAAAGCAGGATTGAAGGGCGTAAGCGCCAGAGAGTGAGGGCACGAGAGAGAGAGCGTGAGGGCGACGGTGTGTGAGAGTGAGGGTGAAGGCGTAAGGGAGTGCAAGGGCATCAGAGAGAGTGAGGGTATGAGAGAAAGCAAGAGCACGGGTGCGAGAGAGAGAGCGTGAGGGTGACGGTGTGTGAGAGCAAGAGTGAAGGCGTAAGGGAGTGCAAGGACATCAGAGAGAGTGAGGGTGATAGAGAGAACGCGTGGGCATGAGAGAGCAAGTGCGAGGGCATGAAAGAGAATGAGAGAGAGAGTGCAAGGGTGTGACAGAGAGCGAGATAGTGGGAGTGAAAGCGTGAGAGAGCGCGAGTGTTGGGGAGGTGCCCATTGTGCGATATGCACAAAAAATGAAGTAGCACAGGTTTCTTGGATGTACATCAAGAATGTACCATCATGTTGCTCCTGCTAAATAAGCTACATGGATTGTAATAGAACCAGAGCATGCAACAAGAGAAAGCAAAGTCAATGATCTTACCTTTGAGGTACATTAAATTTCAGCACTGCCACAAGAAGAACCATTGTAGGGATGAGGCCACAGATAATTGGAAGCCATTGTATCTGAAGAGGTGTCTTGCACTGTGCTAAAGTACATGATAAAAGTCTAGATTATTACATTAATAGTGACATTTTCAAAGTTTAATCGAGTGTGTAGTTTTAGGTGAGTTTCCTCTCTTGAAAGCTTGTACCCAAATCCAAATTTACACCAGCATTATATAAGGAACTGTTCTGATATTTGTATGGGAGCAAAGCACTCCTGATGCTGGAAATCTAAAATAAAAGCAGAAAAAGCTATAAATAGTCAGCTGGTCTGGCAGTCCCTGTGGATAAAGAACTAGAATTAACATTCCAAGTCAATAGCTTTTCATCAGAACCACGAAAGCTTTGAGATGTAACAGTTTTTAGGCAAGGCAGCCAGATGGGAACAAACTGTCATAAAGGTGGAAGGCAAGAATGACCGAATGACAGAATAAATGATAGCGCACAGCAAAAGGATATACTGATTTCTTTTATTCATTCATGGGACATGGGCATTGTTGGCTGGCCAGCATTTATTGCCCATCCCTACCCTTACCAGTTTTTATAAATGTACCATAGAAAGCATCCTATCTAGATGCATTAAAGCGTGTTTTGGCAACTGGTCTTCCCAAGACCGCAAGAAATTACAGGAAGTTCTGAACACAGCCCAGTCCATCACGCAAACCAGCCTTCCATCCATTGAGAGACAGTAGGAACTGCCGATGCTGGAGTCTGAAATAACAAGGTGTAGAGCTGGATGAACACAGCAGGCCAGGCAGCATCAGAGGAGCAGGAAAGCTGACGTTTCGGGTCATCCAGCTCTACACCTTGTTATCTCTTCCATCTATTGACTTCATTTATACTTCCTGCTGCCCTGAGAAAGCAACCAATGTAATCAAAGACCCCTCCCACCCTGGTACCCATTTCAACTGGCTAAAAGATTAAAAGTTTGTATACATGCATGAATAGATTCAATAACAGCTTCTGCCCCGCTGCATAAGACTTCTGAATGGATCTCTCAAATTTTAAGTTTAACATTGATCTTGGTCTCTGTGCACCTTCTCTGCAGCTGTAACTGTGCATTCCTTGCTCAGTTCTATTACCCTAATGCACTTTGTATAGTTTGATCTGCCTGTACTGCACACAAAACAAATTTTTTTCACTGTATTTAGGTACATGTGACAATAATAATTCAAAAAGCTGGTGGTGAGCTGCGTTCTTTAACTGCTGCAGTCCATCTACTCAAATATCTGCCACTGCATATCTATTGATCTGTTCTTAATCCTAATTTGCCAATTCATTTTAGCCAGCTCTGCTTTAATGCCCTTATAATTGCCTTATTTAAGTTTAAAAAAATTATGCTGGACCCACATCTCTTTCCCTCTAACTAAATATAAAATGCTGTCATGCAATGGTCACTGCTACATGGGACATCTCTACTATAAGATCATTAATTAGTCCCATCTCATTGCACAATATAAGGTCTAGAAATAGCTTGTTTCTGGTTGTCTCCAGGCATGCTGTTCTAAGAAATTATTCCAAAAATATTCTATGAATTCCTCTTTGTAGGCAACTTCTCCCATCTAAATTTTCCATTCCAGGTGTAGTTTAAAATCTGTCATGATCATTGCTTTGCTTTTTGACAAGCTACCACAGTTTCTTCCTTTAGGCTCCACACTACCATGTGGTTATCTTCGGGGGCCTGTACACCATTCCAGCAAGTGACTCTGCCTTTGTCATGTCTTATCTCTATCCAAATTATTTTCACATCATGGTTTTCTGAACTTGGGTCATTTCTCTCTATTGTGCTAATACCATAATTAACAAACAGAGCCACCTTTCCACATTTACGTAGCTGCTTGTACTTCTGAAAGGTCCTATACCCTTTAATATTGAGGAACAACTCTACGGCATCCTGCAGTTTCTATTATGGCTACCAGATTGCACTTACTTATTTCTGTTTCACTTTCATTTATGGGTTTCCTTTTGAATGCTATGCACGTACAGGTACAGAGTCATTGGCTTCATTATGTTGTAACCTCCAGCTTTATCTATTGATTTGCTCTTGGATTTGTATTCCCTATCCTTTCTTGTCATAGTTTATTTATCATTTTCCACATTCATAGCTTCCTCTTTTGGCTTGCTTTTACTGCTTGATTTACCAAAATCCTTTACTCTTGCCAAATTTGATTCTTTATCCCAACTGCTTAGTTTAAATGCTGCTCAACTTCCCTATTTACACAGCTAGCAAGAATCCCAGCCCCAGCACAGTTCAGGTGGAGACTGTCCCAATGGTACAAATCCTAAATTTCCCAGTACCACATCAACTGGAAGTCACTTCCCTCACATCAGTCTCTCAGCCACATGTTTGTCTCTCTAACAAAAACAGAAATTTCTGGAAAACCTCCGCAGATCTGGTAGCATCCATGGAGAGGAAACAGAGTCCAGTGACCCTTCTTAAGAACTGATGGTAGCTGGAAAAAGGATGGGTTTTTTTGATAAATACCACCCCTTTCCTAGCTACCATTGGTTCTGAAGAAGGTTCATTGGATCTGAAATATTAACTCTGCTTCCTCTGCACAGATGTTACCAGACCAGCTGAGTTATTCCATATTTCTGAGTTATTTCTGTTTTTGTTTCTGAATTCTAGCATCCACAGTTCTTTTGTTTTTTTTGTCTCTCTAATTTGATTTGCCTGCACCAGCTTGCCTTTACCTCAAGTAATAATCCAAGATTATGACCTTTGAGATTCTGCTTTTTAATTTGGTGCCTAGCTCATCACGCTGACTATGTAGAACCTCCTTCTTTGTCCTACCCATGTCACTGGTACCTCTTCTCCTCCCACTGCAACCTTCTCTCAGCCCTGAATCCTGGTACCAGGCAGACAACACAGCTATGTGGAGCCATGCTCTTTGCTGCGTAGAGAGGTGCCAATCCCTTTGACTTTACTGTCCCTTATAACTACTACCTTCCTTTCTAACTCCTTCCACTTGAATGGTGCCATGGGTAGTTAGCTCATCCACCTTGTAGACCTCACTGTCATACAGACAAGCTGAAAGAACCTGTTGATAATTGCAAAGACTGGCGCCTGCACTCCTGCCTCTGGATACCCTCATATGCTTTGCTCACAGTCACACTCTTCTGTACCTGAACCCCAGCCAAATCAGAAGGCCCGGTCCAAGACTGGAACCAAGGAAATGTTTTCACTCCCTGAAGCACCACAGTGTCTGCAGTTCAACTTCCAGCTCAATAACTCCAGACTAATGCTGCTCAAACTAACTGCAGACAAGTTTGTCCTGGATAAAACTGGCATCCAGGAGCTCCCACATGCTGCTGCAATACATTATTTTCATCCTTCAGCCCTCCCTCCCACATGTGCAGCCATCCACTCACTTTATGTCCTAACGTTGAGATTTCATTACTACTGCAAAATCTTGTAGATGGATTTCAGTCCAGAGCAGGGTGATGTAATGTATTTGGGAGGAGAAACAATGTAAAGGAACATGCAATAACTGTTAAATTCTGAAAGGTTGGGGATCATGCAGAGGCAGGTCAAAAAAATCAACATACTTTCCTTTACTGACTGAAGTATAACAGCAGGAAGAATATACAGAAACCTAGTTCAAGTACACTTCAGAGTGCCGTGTAAAGTTCTGAACATCACACTACAGGAGAGATGTGATTACATTAGTGAGGATACAAGAGATTTGCAAAGGACGTTATTGAAATGGAATATTTTAGCAAAGCTTGATGGAAGATGTCTCTTGCATTCCACTTTGTCACAGATCTTTCTTTTGTCCTTTCCTCCCCTTCTCCCTTACCCTGCATCACTTATAACAATTACATTTCAGAGAACTCCTAATTCTGATATAAGGGCATCAACCTAAAGATCAACTTGGTTTTTCTGTCTACAGATGTTGCCAGACCTGCTGAGTATTTCCAGCATTCTCTGTTTTTATTATGCTCTCTTACTTGGGCTGAGTAACAGTGAGGAAAACAAAGGAGTTGCTGACCTAGCTCTTGTTCACTTTTCAGGCACCTGTAAAGCTGAGCAGACTTGGGGCTGGGAGAGATACGAGCATATCATTGACTATGGTGGGCATCACAGCTGTCCAAACAACAAGTACACAATCACTGCTTAGGTTTATACATGAATGATGTGTGCTTGGATGAAGATTTGGAAATTGTGTCAGAATATTTAGGCATTTCAGCACCTGGATAGAAATGGAGGGTGGACCAGGGCTCCTGTACAAGGCTGTTATCAGTCAAGGAGGCCTTATTAACCTCTGTACTTATTGGCATTGCTAGAACGCACTGCCAACACTTAGAATGGCCGCATGGTGCTAGAGGAGTCAGTGGAACTGAAAAGCAGAAGCAGTTGACAACTCTCAAGAGCAGAAGGGAACTTGCGAGGGAGAAGAACAAGGTTAACATGTCCCAGTGGAAGGTGATTGATATCTTGAGAGCACATGTAGGTTGTATACAACAGTTTCCAGAATTCTATTAGTCATGACGGAAATAACTTCACATTACAGTATTAGTGATACAGGTGAGCAGAGTGAGAGACCCACAATAGAACCCATCCTCATCCTAACCTTCACCCTTTCTCTCCTATTTCCTCCTCATCCACCTTTACTTAGAGAGAAAACCAGTAATTCATGGAAATGAACATACTTGACCTCCATTCACCAGTTTTAATGTTTTATTCCTCCTGGGCAATTTTTTTATTCATCTCAATGCTCGTCTTCATCCCTGTCTACTCTTCACATTCTCCTTCCTACCTTGTCTGTTCCTCCCCAAATAGGTCCCCTCATTACTTGCCAGCTCAAATCTTCTCCTTGATATTCTGTTAACATGTACTCCAGGCCCATAAGAACTTGGTGTTCTCCGATTCTGCTCAGTTTTGGAATTGGGACCCTTTTAACAAAGAAATCCATTGATCTACCCATGATTCTGAATGGATCACTAACCTGTCTTCCACTTCACTCTGGGGCTCCAGTCACTCCAGGTCCCTGTGTAACCAGAGTTTTCTGCAGGGCGACTGCGGATCTGTGCTGAATGTTCTGTGCTCGAATCTAACTCGGAGGCCACCAATGCGAAAATTCTCTGGTTACTTCTTATATGCTTGACTTTCTGTTGCTGTAAACAAAGATCAATCATGTCATTACTCTTTGAAACTATAACCTTCTGTCTACTGAATCAGTTGCTTCAAGCAGATAGATTGTGCTCACCAAACTCTCACTCTCATGATCTGATCTCCATGGTACTAGCATTCAGCTGATTAAAATTCATCACTGAACAGGATTAACCTGGGACTTACTGGATATCATTCTCATCCTAGAGTCAGAGGTTCTGTTTCAAGTTACATTCCAACAAAAATTGAGCCAGGCCATTATTACAGTCTAGAAGGAAGACTGCATGGGAGAAGGGGAGTCATTGAAGAAACACTACACTGACAAAGTAACAGTACTGATGGACAGCTACACTCGCACAAAGGGTCAGCACTAACGGAGTTCTGTTCTGTAAAAGGGGCATCGTTGAGTAGATCACAGTGGCAGATGGTCAGAACTATGACAGCACTGCACAGGCAACAAGGAAATACTGAAGGAACATTGCACTGTAGAAGGGGCAACGCTGAAGAAGCATTACGCTGAAGAAGAAACAGCACTGAGGGAGTGATGAACTAGTGAAAGAGCTGTACTGAGAGATCACTGCACTGTAAAAGGGGCAGCACTAAACGAATGTTGCACTGGCACCAAGCATCAAGAACTTCTTGTAACTTAGTCTAAGTTCAGACTTAAAACAAGGCAGTGAGCAGGACTGCAACCACATAAATGAGCTCAGTCTCCTGTCCTTCAGCACTTGTTACATGACCCATGGGAAAGCCACTCAGGAACTCATCCAGCCCTGCACCTTGTTGTCTCAGGAACTACCATCTGACCATGAGAGGAAGAGCAATTAGCAATCTGTCTGGAAAAGTCTCCCAATCCAGCCAGCATTCCCTCTCTAAATGGGAAATCTTCCTTCAGCTTAGTACAGTTTTTGGTTTTAACGTTGATGGGTTGTCTCTTGTATTGAGTCAGAAAACACAACAGAAATGGGAAAAGAATACATTAACGCTTTTCAGCCTTTTCATCAATACTCAATATGGAAGAAAATTCATAATTTGGGAAAAATGAGGTTCGTCCAGCAGAATGAGGAAGTGCATTAGACAGTCACTGGAGGAAACTGAGAGATGACATTGTATGAGGAATAAACATGAGAACTGCAGGATCATAGAATATTCCAGCACACAGTCCCATCTATTTCACATGAATCACTCACACACTCCATACATTATAAAATCTCACCGACTTTAACCCATTCTCCCACATACTGCCCTGAGCCTTTAATATCTCACCTAATACAATCACATTTCCCTGTTCTCCTCTTGTCCCTTTTAATGCTTATCCAGTTCGTACAACGACCTAATTCTATTCTTGTGAAATTCCTGGAGTCTGTTCTAATCAGTCAGGGTTTGTTTCAGAATCCTAGTTCCTGTGTTGAAGTGTTTTCCTGGCTTATCTTATATTATGCTTGAACCTCTTAGAATTGTACCAGTGACTCGAAGAAGCATGTTTTTTGTTGGTTCATGGGATGCAGAAGCCGCTGGCTCAGCCAGAACTTCTCCTATCCCTAACTGCCCTTGGGAATGGTATTGGAGAGTCATATTTTTCAATCCATGCAGTTCAACTGGTGAAGGACGCCCACAGCACTCTTTGGAAAGGACACTATGACTTTGACCTAGCAATGGTGAAGGAGAAATAATACAATTCCAAGAAAGGATGTTGTGTGCCATGGAGCGGAGCTTGCAGGTAAGAATGTTCCCATGTGTTTGCCCAGGAGGTATGATTGGAAGATGCTGTTGAAGAAGCCTTGGAAAACTGCTAGAGTACATTTTGTAAATGGTACTTTTGTTAGCGTGCATCAATGACGGAGAGAGTGAATGTTTCAGGATTGAATGCCAGTCAAGCAGGCGGCTTTGTTCAAGATGATCTGAAACTTCTTGAGCATTATCAGAATGGTCATCCAGGAAAATAGGGTGTATTACATTAGATTTGTGCCTATAGGTGGTGGACAAGCTCTGGGGAGTCAAGATGTAATTATTCGTGACAGATTTCATAGCTTTTTTCCTTGCTCCTGTAGTCACAGTATAAATGTGTCCCATTTGGTTAAGTTTCTCCCACCAGTGGAGGATTTTCTCCTTGATTCTCATTGACTTCAATTTTACTTGGGCTCCTTAATGCTACACTTAGGCAAATGCTTCTTTGATGTAAAGGGAAGTCACATTCACCTCACCACTGGAATTCAGTTATTTTGCTCATATTCGGAGCAAGATTGTAAATAAGGTCCAGAGCTGAGTGATCCTGAGAGAATCCAAACTGAGTATCCAAAAGCAGGACATTACTGTGTAAGTGGATAATTATTTGATAGCACTTTCATTAATACCTTCTATGATGATACGCTGATGATCAAGAGACCGATGAGATGGTAATTAATCACACTGAAGTTTTCTTCCTTTCTATGAACAAGGTATACCTGGCCACGTTTCCTCTTTGTCACGAATATACCTGCTGTATTAGAACAGTTCAGCTAGATGTGTAGCTGGTTGTGTAGCAACAAGTCTTCAGTATTAAAGTCAGGATGTTGTCAGGGACCATAGGCTGAATGGTATCTTGTGCTTTCAGCCATTTCTTGGTATCATGTGAACTGAATTGGCTGAAGACTAGCAGTTAAGATATTGGGGACCTCAGGAAGAGGCAAATATTCATTATCCACGCAATACACCACCTGAAGATGGTTGCAAGTGCTTCAGCCTTCAGCATTGACATGCTGAAGTCCTCCATCGTTGAGGATGTTTGTAAAATCTCTGTCATTTAATTGTGTATCACTATTTACAACTGAATATGGCAGGACTGCAGAGCTTTGACCTGATCCTTTCATTGTGGGATTGCTTAGTTCTGCCTATTGCATGATGTTTCTGCGGTTTATCATGTAAGTAGTCCTGTTTTTGTAGCTACACCAAGTTTGCATTCCATTTGAGGCATGCCTGGTACTGCCCTATGTCCTAACATTCTCTCACTCTTTCGTCTATATCCTTCCTTTTATTCCATGAATCCCTCACTATCTGTGAGATGAGTATCCCAACGAGAGTTAGTACCTGAAGAAAATTATTACAGTGAAGTTCAGTCTCTGTGGATCCTATACAAATGGGAGAGTCAGTTTGAGGTCAAGTTGTATCTCAGTGGAAGTCAGTATTTGTGGAAACTGTACTCTGTGAAAATCAGTATTTGTACAACCTGTATTCCAGTGAGTGGAACTATACCCAGGTGAGAGGAAAGGTCAGAGATAGTAGGAACTGCAGATGCTGGAGAATCTGAGATAACAAGGTGTAGAGCTGGATGAACACAGCAGGCCAAGCAGCATCAGAGGAGCAGGAAAGCTGACGTTTCGGGCCTAGACCC